CGGTCAAGTTTCTACAGGTCAGCGCGTCTGGAGGCGCTGACTGAGGTAGTGGATGAATTCGAGGCAGCTGCTTTGAACAAGAGCGCCGGACAAATCAATATTGGGAGCCGGCTACAGGTGTGTGCACGTGGTGCTTAAAGATGCCTGTGCCTCCCTGTGTATGTCGTTTTCTTGGTTGCTCTGCTGCCCGGCTCAACCGCAAGCCGATTTTAAATGCAGAATTGTTGGTGGTATATGCGGTCAATAGTCGTATCTGTTGTGCATACAGCTTCTAGAATCCCACAGGTCTCATAACAATTGACCACACATAAAATTATTAGGAGGTTTGGCAGATTTGCTTAATTTGAGTTGACCCAATTGTGAAAAAAGTCGAGGCGTTAGGCGGGATTTTAACCTGCGTATTAGAGAAGGCCTTCACCGCGAGGTGTTCGGCGGGATTTGAGCCGGTGGTTCAAATCCCACCGGACGCCTCGAGTTTTTACACATAAAATATCAATTTCTTATTCGAAAAGCGGAACAAAGATCCCTGGAGTTTTTTCCAAACCGACCCATGGTAATGAAGGAATCACGTGAACAGTTTTTTTAGGTGCAGCCGTTTTGAGAGATGTCATACTATTATTTGAATGTTGTAGTATGCACGTAGGACAGTGGCCATGTTTTTTTGTAGAACGTGAAATCTATGGGATTTCAACGCTCTCCTCGATCACCGGTGTCAATGTTCGACCGGCAAAAAGTCCTTAATGCGTGTCAATATCTTTATATCTAAACGTGGTTCGATAGTTATAGCGTTAGACTTATAATCAAAAGGTCACAAGTTCGAGTATCGGGTGGTGCACTACTTGGGTTGATAAGCCAAAGGTGGCCATTCCAGTCTCCCATATCTTTGCCGGTAGTACTATCTGTTAGGGCGGCCTAACGAACATTTTAGCAAGCAGTAGCTTGCAGGTCATAGTCGCACTCCAAGCAGGCTATCGATCGGCCTACACGGACGAATGTACACAGGCCGTCAATCAATCGATAATTCAAATTTCCAGTTGCAGTCAGCCGTCGAGTTATTATCCAATCGCACCGGTGGCCAATCTAGAAAAGAATCTGATTGGCTTAAGGGACATCGTTTACACGCGTTTGTTTCCTAAATATCTTGTACCTCATACACTAAATGACTTCTGCCGTTGCACACTTCTTGTCGTGTTCTTCCTTTGGGGACTCACAC